CCCCCACTCTCACCCTCCACAGGCGCGCAGCTCGACCAGGCGTCGCTGCGCTACATCGACACGACCGACGGCGCCAGTTTCGTCGGCGTTGACTTCACTGAGGCCGACACACGCACACGCACACGCACACGCACACGCACACGCTCACGCACACACACACACACACACACACACACACACACACACACACACACACACACGCACACACACGCACACACACACACACCGCTCACCCACGCGCACTGGGCCTTGCACTCTGAATGCCGTGGGGCTCCTGTCGTCAGACGTGGAGACGCGAGGGGTTGCCTGGCCGTCGCCCCACCACCTCGTGTGTGTGTGGAGAAGTGTCCCTCACCTTACCTTACCTTAGGCCGGGATCGAGTGGTGCAAGTTTCTCGCCTCCGACTTCCGCGCGGCGCGGTTCGAGGGGGTGCACACCCCGCCGCCGTCGCCGCCACCGCCCAGCCTGCCGCCGCCCTCTCCACCGCCGCCCTCGCCACCGCCCCCGTCCCCCCCACCCCCTTTGCCGCCGCCCCCGTCGCCGCCGCCTCCTTCACCGCCGCCGCCGCCCTCACCTCCCCCGCCGTCCCCGCCACCGCCATCGCCTCCGCCGCCTCCGCCGCCATCGCCGCCCCCACCTCAGTCTCTAGCGCCGAGCGCGACACACTGCCGCGGCAAGCCCCTTGCTGGAAGCCTTCTCCCGCACCCTCCCTCTAGGCCCGCTTCCGCGACGTGGCTTTCGAGCGCTGCACCTTCGACTCGCGCACGGTCTTCACGGGCGCTACCTTCGACGGCGAGGTGGAGATAAGCCGAGCGATGGCCGACGGCGCCCGCCCTCGCCTGCCCGCGGCCGCTGTCGTTCCTTCGGCGGCGGCCGCAGCCGTCGTCCCTGCCTTTTCTAGGCGTCGCAGCCTCGCGGAGGCGTCAACCTCGGAGAATCTCGGGCACTGCCGCCGCCAATCGCTCGAGGCCCCTCTCTAGGCCTCAACCTCGCAGGCCTCAACTTCCCCGAGATTCCCCGAGATTACCCGAGATGACTCGAGGTATAGGCCTCAACCTCGCAGGCCTCAACTTCCTCGGCAAGCTCCTCGCCAACCGGGCGAAACTCGCCGGCGCCTCTTTCCGGGGGACCGCCATCAGTAACGGCGAGAGTGCCCGAGAGTGCCCGAGACTACCCCCCCCCACGAGATAGCCCGAGATGGCCCGAGATTGCACCGCCACCAGCAACGGCGCACTCAAGCGAGGTATCGCCGCGACGACGCGTTTTGTGTTGCACAGGCGAGCTCAAGGAGGCGATCGCGCCGCGCGCCAACTTCAGCGGCGCGGCGCTCTCCAAGGTCGCCTCTCCCATACCCCACGGTACCCGAACCCACCCTCCCCTACCCCACGGTACCCGAACCCACCCTCCCCTACCCCCCAAGGTCGAGTTTACGGGCGCGCAGCTGCAGGGCGCGACCTTCCGCGGCGCCACCCTCGACGCGGTCAACTTTGCAGAGTGCGACCTGGACGGCGCGGATTTCACCGGCGCGACGATCGTATCGGCCGAGTTTGGCAACGCGCGCGGCCGGGCGATAGGGCTGCCGGCCGGCGTGTCAAAGAGCATGGCGACGCGAGGGTGACGCCTCTCTGCGTGTGCAATCGAATGCCCAGACCTGCCGAAATGCCCAGATCGCACCCCCTCCTCCCTTGTTTGTTTGTGGTGCGGGCACTCCAGGGGCGCGAATGTGGCAGTCAAATGCGGCGCACCTCTTGATCACACCCTGGCCAAGCGGCGCGACGTAGGGCGCTTCTCTCTAGCGCAACTCGGCCCTTGTTTTTTTCTTGAAAGTCCTCGCTTGGAGCACTTGGAGTATTTGGCCGCTTTTTTTTCTTTCCCCTGTGCGAGGGAGTTTGGTTGTAAAATTCTTTCTCCCGGCCGGGGTGGGCGCGCGCGGGGGGCGGCGGGTGTGCGGGATGTCTGTGGGCCCGAGAGCGATATGCCATGTCCGCCTTGCGTTTGTTTCATAACATCGAAGGCTGAGCTCAAAATTCTAGCGCAGAAAAGAAAGAAAGAAAGAAAACAGACAACCCAAGGGAGGGATGGCGCGAGTCGTTGTTTTTCTTATCCGCAGTTTTTTTTTCTTTCTGGCATGAGCGACGCCATCCTCCCAACCCGCCTCGCCGACCTGGCTCGGGGCGACCTGGCCTCGCTGCGCGCCTTCCTCTCCGGACAGGGGACGCACGGCACGTCACATATTGCCCAGCTCGACGCGCGGCACGGCACCGAGCAGCAGGACACGCTGCTCACCTGGGCCGCTCGTCACGGGCAGGCCGAGGCGGTGCGGCTGCTGCTCGACAGCGGCGTGAGCTTCGGGGCGACGACTGGCGGCGGCGCTTCCGCGCTGTATACCGCGTGCCAGGAGGGCCAGATTGAGTGCGCCCGGCTGCTCGTCGAGGCTGGCGCGGCGACCGACCAAGCAGACGCTGAAGGCCGCATGCCGCTGTTCGTCGCGAGCGAGAAGGGGCAGCTCGAGATCGCGCGGCTGCTCGTCGAGGCCAACGCAGCGGTCGACCAGGCTGATGATGAAGGCACCACGCCGCTGAGTGCTGCGAGCTTGACTGGCGAGATCGACTGCGCCCGGCTGCTCCTGGAGGCTGGCGCGGCGGTCAACCAAGCGGATTCTGAAGGCCGCACGCCGCTGTACGTTGCGTGCCAGGAGGGCCACCTCGAGTGCGCCCGGCTGCTGCGCGACGCTGGCGCGGCAATCAACCAGGCCAGGACCGACGGATCACGCCGCTGCACATCGCGTGCCTGAATGGCCACCCCGAGGTCGCCCGGCTGCTGCGCGGCGCTGGCGCTGACATCAACCAAGCGATGAACGACGGCGTCACGCCGCTGTTCATGGCGTGCCAGGAGGGCCGCCTCGAGTGCGTTCGGTTGCTCGTTGAGGCTGGTGCGGCGGTCAACCAAGCTTGCAACGAAGGCACCACGCCGCTGTTCATGGCGAGCCAGGAGGGCCACCCCGAGTGCGTTTGGCTGCTTCTCGAGGCGGGCGCGGCGATCAACCAAGCCCCGCAGAACGGCGCCACGCCGCTGTTCATGGCGTGCGAGGAAGGCCACCTCAAGTGTGTCCGGCTGCTCCTCGAGGCTGGCGCGGCGGTAGACCAGGCCAGCGAGGACGGCACCACGCCGTTGTTCATGGCGTGCCAGGAGGGCCACCTCGACGTCGCCAAGCTCCTCTCCTCCTACGGCGCCTCCCGCGCCGCTACGCCCTTCGGCACACCCGAGGAGATTGTAGGCCGTGAAGGCCACGCCGACCTCGCCGCCTGGCTGGTCGCCAGCCGCGGTTGGACGCCGCTCCAGCACCTCGAGGCGTGCCCGAGACTAGCGGCTGAAGGCGTGAGCGCGCTGTCCTCACTCCCATTGCACCTCTTCCGCAGGCGCTCACCGTCGAGCGGGCGCGGGCGCTGCTGCGCGGCGGCGCAGACCTGCTCGCCGGTGCGCCTTCTGCCCTCGAGCGGGCGCGCGTCCTCTGCTCGTGGGGCGAGTCGGATCCGACCGCTGCGGCCGTCGGCTCCACAGTCAAGATCCGTTCTCTCGTCTCGCGGCCCTCGATGAACGGCAAGGTCGGCGTCGTCGTCTCCGCAAACGCTTCGACGGCCCGCTTCGGCGTGCGCGTGGCGGGCGAGGCCAAGGCACACGCACTGAGGCGCGCAATGCAATGGTCTCTCCCCGACTCGCCGGATCCTCTCTTTGAACACCCCACGCCTCTGCCCTCCCTCAGGCCGGCCAACCTGCAGCCAGCGGCTGAGGCGGTGGCGGTGGGCAGGCTCATCCTCAAGGCGGCGGAGTGGTCGCCCCAGTCGCACGAGCTCTTCCCGGAGGCGGCTCGCAAGCGGGCGGTCGAGGTGATGCGGCTGGGCTACCTGATCGCTTGGGACGAGGAGCGCTTCGACAGCCGCGAGGGAGCGGCTCCGGAGCTGGCGGACATCTGGCGCGGCTTTGTGCTGCCAAGGGTGGTGGTGCGATGATTTCTCGTTCCGCACGGGGTTTTCAGTGAGAGGGCCAAACCCCCACGCCCCAGGTGGGGTCTTGCCGTTGCCCGCCTGTGCTCGCGTATCTATTGGGTTTGTCTATGCACGCTATGGTCTATAGCGGGTGAGACCGTGGGTGTGAGGTAAAAGCACGCTACCAGCGCTTGGCCACATCGGCGCTGAGGTCAGATCCTTCTCCTCTGTTGATGGTAACACTTTGTCTATACTCGCGCTGGAGCCGAGCACGAGGAGGGCCCGGCGCACAACCCTCTGCCCGAGTGTGGCGCCGCAGCATGAAGAGCCTCCGGCGGCCGGGCCTCCGGCGGACGCCTAGCGGCGTGGCGCTGCGCGCCGGCGCTGCCGAAAGCAGCCTTGACGCGTCGGCCGGGGAGCCTCCGGCGGGCCTGCGGCGCGGGGCGCTGCGCGCGGCAAACTTGCCGGAGTGTGGCCGCAGCAAGAGCCTCCGGCGGGCCTCCGGCGGACGCGTGCGGCGTGGCGCTGCGCGCCGGCGCTGCGCGCCATTCGGAAGGCTCGACCGCATCTTCGACAGCATCTTCTGCGTATATTTTGGCCCGCTATATAGCAAGCAGCTTGCGGAGGAGCAAAGGGCGCCCGATTAGCGCTGCCCTGCGCGCGGCCGGGCAAAAAGGAGCGTGACGCGGGCAACACGCGAGGGAAGGAGAGCGTCTCCCTGTTCCGTGTCGCGCACCTGGGCACTGTGTGCTCTAAGTGCCTGAAAAAACAATCAATTCATTTCCGGCCTGTGCTGCTAGGGGGTAGACAGCGTCCTAATCTAAAATCTGAGGATTCAGGATTGAGGGCTTGCTTCAGTGAGGCCAAAGTGAGTTAATGGATGTGTGAGAACGGTGCGGGACACGAGGAGTCACGCGGACCGACTCGTCGGTGACTCTGCTGCACGCCGTTTCAGAATTTTTCTCAGCGTGAGCGAGACGTTCCGTCGGCGGCCTCGCCGATCCCACACATCCATGCGTACGCTCTGCCTCGCGGCGGCGCTGCTGCACGGGGCCGACGCCTTCGGGTCGGTTGGAGGCATCCCACAGGTCATCTTTGTGCACGATGCCGTCCTCGATGACTTTCTCGGCGAGGCGCTCGTGATGGAGGCGCACAATAAGGGAGAGATCAACTTGCTCGGTTTCGCGGCCGGCAACCCCCATTTCATGCGAGATTGCGAGAGGTAGCGGTCCTTGGAGATCGATATAGGCTCGATCGTCATCAACGCGGACAGCGTGCCACCGACGTCGTTCAAAATCGTGGACAAGTTCCGCGCCTCCTATTACGGGGAAGCTGTCCCCATTGGCAGCAATGCCGTCACACTGAGCGAGGCACGCCTGGAGTGAGGAGAAGGACTCCTTAAGTTTGTGCGGCGCCGCGACTGACCCCACTGTCCACCACCGTGTACCAGGCTCGGCTCTTCAATCCGTTCCCAATGGCGTACCGGACCGACTCCGACAAGATGTACAACCTTGAGTCGGTCAAGGTCATGCCCGAACCAAATATGGACACCTGCATCGCCGACGGCGAGGTTTGGCTCGAGGCAACGCTCGAGGCGGCGGCCGATAACAGCATCACCCTGTTTCAGGCGTGATAGGGCTCTCAGCGCACATCCTCGCACGCGTTCACTCAAGACAACCGCCGCCGTGCGCCGCGCTGCGTTTGCAGGTCGGCACCCTGACCAACCTCAAAATGGTATTTGAGAAGAAGCCGTACCTCGCCAACAAGATTGCAAAGATGGTGTGGATGGCGGGCGCGATCGACGTGCCCGGCAATCTCGAGGAAAGTCAATGGGACGGATTCCCAAAGATGACGGATGAGCTCTACGAGGCCTGGGGCTGCGCGGCGGCTGGCGACCCGCCGCCGTGCCAGTGCGGAGCTCCAGTGAACGCTCTCATGCCCGCCCGGCGCGGCATGGCCAAAGCCATGGCGGGTACGCCGGTCACGTCCTGCGGGGCGTTCACGTCGAGCTGGCCCGAGTGGAACGTGTGGGGCGATGTGCCGGCCGCGGATTACATCTTCCGCACTACGACCTTCCCCATCTTCCTTGCGCCGCTCGACCTCGCCGATCAGCTCCCGATCCCGAACGACGAGTCCGGGGAAGGGTTCATGAAGACGCTCTATGAGGCCAAATCGCCTGAGTGCAACCAGCTAATCTATAACGCCATCAACGAGAGCTACGCCACCTTTGCCGCCCCCCAGTTCTTTTACCGGCTCTGGGACTCGTCCGCCGTGATGTACGGCCTTGCCCCGGAACTCTTCGGAGAGACTGAGACTGTTGAGATGGCCGTGGGCACCGCGTGGGACTACCAGGGCCTTCTCATCCGCAAGTCGGAGGCCGAGATGGGCATGCCCTCCCCCGACGACTTTGTGAATACGTGCAAGAACTCACCGGTCGCGTACCGCGAGATCACGATCGTGAAGGGCCTGGCGAACGGCCCGCAGCCTGTCTTCGACTATGCGGTGGTGGCGGCGTGCGCAAAGGACAGCCCCGGTGCGAGGCGCCGTTGACGACGCCTCGACCGACAGCAGAGCCTCACGGGCTGGAATGCCAAAGGACTCGAGGAACGGGGATGGCATGCGGGTTGCACTCCGTCGCGGTGCTTCGCATGCGCTTTGGCTGTGGTGCGAAGCTCACCTCCCTCGGCTGAGCGAGGGCTCCGGGCCACGGGGTCAGTCTTTGCCAGAGGGGGGAGCTTGGAGAGAGCAGCGAGACTCTCTAGTGTCTTAGACAAGAGTCGAGAGAGTGGAGAGAGTCTCAACGGGGACGTGCGAGCGCGAACGGGGCGGTCTCTGATCGACATAATGTTAATGAGAGGGGCTGCATGATACAAACATGACACACGGCGCCATAGATGATTCGCGCGGGGGCCGCGGGCGGACTGCTCTCGTCTTTGCTGCTGCTCTCGAGCGGTGGTTATCTCGAGGTTGCGCGGCCGTGGTCAGACCCTCCGGGCCCTTGATTTTACCGGGGCGCAGCACGTCTTGCAGCACGAGGCAAGCGCGGCCGCCTGCGCCGGCGTGTAGCTGTACCACTCGACCGCGGTCGTGGCGCACTCGTAGCCCATCCAGGAGCCGCAGGTGTAGCCAAAGGCGTCGGTCCAGCCCTTGGCGTCCTTCTCTGCGCAGGTGGTCGCGGTGGACTCGGCCGGGCAGACGGAGCCGGCCGTGGAGCCCGAGCCGGAGCCGATGGAGACGGAGCCCGATACCGGGGCGCAGCACGTCTTGCAGCACGAGGCAAGCGCGGCCGCCTGCGCCGGCGTGTAGCTGAACGACTCGACCGCGGTCGTGGCGCACTCGTAGCCCATCCAGGAGCCGCAGGTGTAGCCCCCGGCGTCGGTCCAGCCCTTGGCGTCCTCCTCTGCGCAGGTGGTCGCGGTGGACTCGGCCGGGCAGACGGAGCCGGCCGTGGAGCCCGAGCCGGAGCCGATGGAGACGGAGCCCGAGCCCATGGTGGACTCCGCTCGGGCTCCGTCTCCCTCACGCGACCCAGGGCAATTTTCCTTATATGCCCATTCTGCGAGGAGAGAGAAGCCGCGAGAACAAGGGAGCGGCAGGCAGGCGAGAACGACGCGACAGAGAAGGAAGCGACAGGAGGGAGAACGACGAGAGTGGGACGACCGCGAGGTGGCATGAAGGTTGCAGCGAGAATCGGCGAGGGACTGCGAAGGGAGATGGAAGAGGTAGACGACCAAGGGATAGGGTGGGCGACGGCTAGCACCACACTCCTCTCCTTAAAATCCCTGTGTGGTGGCGGCGTGCCGTCCTCCCATCCCTCCCTTGGGTTGTCTGTTTTCTTTCTTTCTTTTCCTTCACACCTCGAACCGCGCCATCCTCGATCGCCGTGCAAAGCTCGCTTCCGAGCTCTCACGCCGCGCCTAGGGCCCTCAGGGGCCTAGAGAACACAACCCCCTCTCCCTTTTCTCCCAGTAAGCTAAAAGTACATACACCTCCAGTAAGCTAAAAGTACGTTACACCTCTGTTCCAGAACCCGAGGGGTCACACAGTCCACGTGTGTGATGCACGCCCTGTGAGCGGGGCGCGGTGCGCACTGTGCCTCTGTGTTCGTGCGTCGCCCATCTCTCCTGGAGATGACTGCTCTATTTATTTATTTCGCCCATCCTACACCACAGGGGAATCCCTGGGACCCTGTCGTGTGGGTGAACCCTGCCCAGCCCTTGCCAAAATTGTCGCACCAGGCACCGTCAGCGTAATCGGAGTCAACGAACAGCTGGCAGACGAAGCGCCCCTCATTCACGTTGACAAAATTGGATGTAGCCGCCGAGACGTAGCCGGAGTAGTGGACGCAGGGATGTCCCTCCCACGCAGTCTCGCCGTCCGCGCAAGGGCGGTGCTCCTCCACCTTGAAGACCGAGATGCCCCAAGCCTGATCGTTCTGTTCGTCAGCACCGCATGTCGACGTCGGCTCGAGCAGCGCGATGTTCTTGTGGTCCCACGCGCTGGAGACCAGCGCGTCCGCCTCTGCCGCGTCGCCCTCGATGGTCTTTGCGAGGTGGTGAGGGAAGTCGGTGAACTTGACCGCCGTCTGCGGGTAGTAGTTGAAGGCGATGTCGGCGATGAAGTGGGCCGCCGTGTCGCCCTCCGTCTCGCTCGCCGCAACGTCTCGCTCCTTCATGACGACGTTGAGGTTCGAGCAGAAGCCAGAGGTGGCGATCAGCCAGGCGGGGTCGTCGACCACGTCGGGCACGGGAGGAGAGGGCTTGGGCGCAAAGGCGGTGCCGCGAGCGGTTGGGTTGATGTCGTGGACGGTTTCTGCCTGCGCACGCCGGTGTGCGCGTGTGAGGCTCAGCCTGCCTGAGTGAGTAATTGTAGCAGGGCGGAGCGAATACCGGCAGGGCAGACGCCGGCAGCGCGACGAGCAGAAGCGAGGCAGTCTTCAGCATGTCCGTGTCGGCAGTCCGTCGGGGTCAGATGTATAGACGCCTTTTTTGGTGCGGGGGTACGGGTGTTCCACACGCACCGACCCTTCGAACCGAAAGGCTGTGCCCGGGGAAGGCACAGTAATCCGGCACGTGTTGGGCGCCCCATTCCGTTTGGCGGCTAGGTCGGCTCAGGGCCCCGTCCACTTCCCTCCCACTTGGGTCTTGGCGCGTGATTGATGATGAGGAGATGCCAGAGAGGGTGGTGATGTATCGCGCGCAAACGCAGGAGGCCGCAGTTTTTTCAATGAACTCGGGGGCACAGGACGCGGCACAAACGGGGCACAAACGTCAGGCTACAAAGACGGGGAGGCACGCGGTGATTCCCCGGACGGAAGTGCTCGCGTCGAAGTTCCATCGAGGGAGCTTCAAAAGTTGCTTTGGATCGCGCGCCCCACCTCGGCGAAGCGGCGCTGCAGCCGCTCGTCCGCGCGGATCCGCAACGCATTCCCTCCTACCCCCACTGCAGAGCGGTCAGCGAAGTTGTAACTCGGAATCAACCCTGAAGCACATGTCTGAGACCATGCCCGCTGACCTGCTCGACGGTGGCATCTGGAGACGCGCTACCTGGGAGAGGAGGACCCTCGCCGAACGAGTGGAACTCTGGCCGCGAGCGCAAAAGGCGATGGGAATACAGTGCCCGAAGCTCAAATTCGGCTCCTTTTACTACCCGACTCTGGGAATCAAGCTCCGTGGGGTCCGAGCCACCGAAGCCATCCGATCCGCCGAGCTGGTGTGCCGCGTGCCAAGAGCCAGCTTGTTGAGCGCGTTTACAATCCAGAACTCGAGCCTCTCCCCCATGGTGAGGGAGGTCGGCACGCGCAGTGCAATGGCTTCCTTCTTGATTCGCGAGTCCACTCGCAACGCCTCCTTTTGGATGCCGTACGTAAAGGCACTGCTCGAGGCGCACCCGACCGACGGCATCCCCCAGACGTGGGACCCCGCAACCTCTCAGGAGCGGCTGAACTCGCTCTCCAACTACAGCCGAAAGTTAGCAGCGTCGTCGCGGGCCGCGACCGAGTCTGCGTGGAGGCGCCTCGTCGATGTGAGCTTCCGCCGTCACGCTGCCGCACTGAGTGAGGGCGGCGTCTGCGACGCCATCGTGTGCTCCCAGGAGCAGCTGGTGCAGGTGTACAGCAGGGAGCGCTTTCGCTCCATGGTGAGCGTGCTACATGCCCGCCAATGGAGCATGCCCTGGTACACGCCCGGGCAGCAGATTCTCTTCAGCGCGCCCGGCGCCGATTTGCTCAACCACGGTACACCCGGCGACGTCAAAAACCGGTTCCGCGCGAGCGAGCACGCCTTCACGATGCACGCGAAGCGCGCGATCCGCAAGGGTGAGGAGGTGCGAAAGCACTACTCCTATCTCATGTGCTGCGAGAGGTACCTGAACGCGTATGGCTTCCTGCCCAGCGGAGTGCCGCAGTGCCAAACGCCACCGCATATGCCGCGAGGGCCGAACCCGTGCGGGAGGGGCGTACCGCTGCAGCCGGAGCCGCAGAGGCCCCGTCTCCCGCAGCCCGGCCGTGACGCGTGAGACGCCGATCTACGTACTGCGAATCGAGTTGGTGCCGGTATGACCATGGCGTGGTCCGTGGATGTGTCGACGAGCGGAACCTCCGTCACCCGCACTCTATATATATCAGACAGCGCTGAAGAGGAAGAGCGGGGGGGCGTCCTCGGTGAGGACCTCCGGAAAACGCGGTGCAGCATACGCAGCGTCGATACTAGCGACGAAGCAACACACTCCACACACACACCTAGAAACTCAGAAACAGCGGTGGCTGATGATTTCTCGGCGCCCACGGCCTCGCCCTCCGCCCCCTCGCCGCTCATCACCGCGATGCGGCGGCCGCCTGAGGCTGAGCTGGAAGCGCCGCCGCCGCCGCGTCGACACGCTCCGCGTACGTCGTCAGCGCGTCGCGAATGCGCGCGTACCCTCCCATGGCCTCCGCGCCGCCCACCTCGCGTAGCCGCGCCGCCAGCGCCTCTGCGTCGGCTCGGACCAGCAGCGTCCCAGGCGCCGCGCCGCCCCCCGCGGCGGCGGCGGCGGTGGCCGCGTCGTGCAGCGCGTCGCCCGCGCGCGCGTAGCCGAGGAGCCGAGCGAACATCTCGTCGCGGTCGACCTCCGCGGGGACGATGAACTTGGCTCGCGCCTGCGCCGAGGATCGGCCGAGGTGGCCCGAGAGGAGCCGAGAGGAGCCGAGAGGAGCCGAGAGGAGCCGAGAGGAGCCGAGAGGAGCTGAGAGGAGCCGAGAGGAGCCGAGAGGAGCCGAGAGGAGCCGAGAGGAGCCGAGAGGAGCCGAGAAGTCCCAAGCGACCCGAGATCTCCGGAGGGGGGATGAGCTCTGGCGCGCGCCGTCCCGCCGTGCTTCTCTTCCGAGTAGTCCGCCCACGAGCCCTCGGAGAAGTCGCCTGCGGGGGAAAGGTTCCGAGAAGGTTCCGAGAAGGGTCCGAGAGGAGTCCGCCCATGAGCCCTCGGAGAAGTCGCCCAGCTTGCCCGCGTGCCCCACCCGCAGCGTGCCGTCCGCGGCAGGGCAGAGCGCCGTCGTGATCTTCGCGGCGATCGAAAACTCGGCGAGGCCTCGCCTCTTCTCGCCGAAGAAGCCGCCCGCGCCGAAGTAGCGGTAGCCGCACCGCAGCGCCTCCTCGATGTCGGCAAACTCCTCAATCTCCGACGCCATGCGCCGCGTCTCTGGGAAGATGGCCGCGAAGCGCGCGAGCCGGCCCGAGTCCTGCCGCGCCATCGCGACGTCGGGCAGCAGGCCGAGCTCGAGCAGCATGTGCCTGTTCACGGCTGCAGGTGTGAAGAGACGCTGTTCACAGACGCACGACGCGCGTCGCCTCGAGCAGCATGTGCTTGAACGGTGCCGAGCCAAAGGCGTAATCTCGGGTAATCTCGGGTAGTCTCGGGTAGTCTGTGCTTGAACGTCGCCGAGCCAAAGGCGTCCGGCAAGACGGTCCTGTTGCCCGTGCACGCCCAGAAGAGCACTGTCCAGAGAACGGACGAGAGGGGGAGGCGCGCGTCGAGGGGCGCCTAACCTCGGGGAATCTCGGGGGATCTCGAGATCAGGCGCGGTGCTCGCGCCTAATCTCGGGTGATCTCGGGCCATCTCGGGCCATCTCGCGCCTCCAGCGCCATCAGCGCCATCGGCCCCTCGTGCGCCGACGTGCCGACGAGGCGGCAGCGCGGCAGCACGCGGCCGGCAAACAGGGACGACGTGGCGAACGCGGGCCAGAGCTGCTGCAGGTACAGGTGCTGCAGCAGGTGGAAGTCTGCGTGCGGCGCGCGGCGGCCCGCGAAGAAGGAGACGGAGCCGAGCCCCGGCGCATGCACGCGCTCCTGCACGGAGTGCGCGGCGACGGCAAAGTTCATCAGCGCGTCGCGGCACCAGCGGGCCGCGCCGTGGTCGCCCTCTGTCTGCACCGCCTCGGTCATAAACTGAGCCATGCACTGCAGGATCGGCGTCTCCGCAAAGGTGACGCGGAACCACGGCCCTTGCGCCAGAACCACCGCCTGCCCCCCCTGCAGCTCCACCCTGACCTGCACGCCGCCGCTCGCCGAGAAGCCGACGCCTTCGTCGAGCAGCTCAAAGAGCCTCGAGCCGGAGAGCAGGCGGACCCACTCCTCGTTGACAGGCGCGAGGCTCTCCTCGATGCTCGCCGCCGGAGGGCCCCGCGCCGCGATCAGCCTGCGCAGCGTGGCGGCGCGGAAGCGACGCTCGCCGACGGCCTGCAGTGCGGCGCGGAAGGCGGCACTCGACCCCTCGTACGATCCGACCATCTCGGGGCCGGCGCCGCTGTCAAAGACGCCGAGCTCGCGCGCCGCTCCGTCCTTGACGACCTGCGGCCGCCTCCTCAGCTGCGTCTGGAAGCGGCAGGCCGGGAAGCGCAGCTCGCCCGCTGGCTGCGTTGCCTTTGCGTAGACGAGCTGCACACGCGACATAACAATCTTGTAGTAGTCGCTGAAGTCGGTCGCCTCATGCTCGGACGCCTCGGGCAGCTGCCGCACCGCACCCTGCGCCCACGCGCTGAACGACAGCACGTGGCGCTTGGCGTCGGCTTCGCTGGTCGACGTCGCCTTGAGGATCGGCGCGGGAACGCTCCAGCTGCCGTCGTCCGCCGTCGGCAGCGCCGCAACAGCGCTGAGCAGGGCCTGGCGCTGCGTAGTGCATGAGGCCATTCGGTGAAGCGCTCGTGCAGCAGGGTTCCGGCTCCTGCGATATACGCCTGCCGGGGTCGACTTCCGCGAAGAAGCGAAATGTGGAAAAAAATATTTTCCCCCTCCTCCGACGGGGCGTCGTCGCGCCGTCCGACGGTCTGCTGCCCCGCGCAGCAACCGTCGGGCGACGACCCGGGGGCCAAAAACCCGGCGACGGCGGCGCTCTGGATGGGGCGTGACCTCCTGCCTCCAACCTCCTTCCTTTTTGAGCAGGTGTGACGCCGCGCGAGCGACGCTCCGAGATCGCCCGAGATAGCGCGGCGCGGCCCCGAGATCGCCTGAGATAGCGCGAGATCGCCCGAGATAGCGCGGCGCGGCCCCGAGATCGCCCGAGATAGCGCGAGATCGCCCGAGATCGCGCGGCGCGGCCCGGGGCGGGGTGGATGGGTTGGGAGCGAGGGGGCGGAAGTGACCAGTGCGGTAGATGTTAAGCTCGAGGCGCGTGAGCCGGACTTGTGAGCCGGACCACCCCCTCTTGTTCCCTGCGTTGTTGAGCCAGGACTCAACATACTCGGGCTGTCCATCCCAAACTGTCACTCCCCTTTCTCCCGGCCGGGGTGGGGCGCGCGCGGGGGCGGCGGGTGTGCGGTGAGTGTGCGGGATGTCTCATGTCTGTGGGCCCGAGAGCGATATGCCATGTCCGCCTTGCGTTGTTTCATAACATCGAAGGCTAAGCTCAAAAAAATATGCTTGCGGGATTGCAGCGAAGATAAAGCTGAAAAAATAACATACTAATCCCCCTCCGGCGGGCCCGGAGGGGAGAGGGGTGGCGTCACAGCGAGATGCTGCGCGGCGGCGGAGGAGGTCAGTTTTGGTTGGTAGATTTCAGGTCGGTTTCGTGTCGGTTTCGTGTAGGTTTCATCGGTTTCGCCAAAAAAAATCTTCGCCCTCGCGTGCGGCCAATCGGTCGGTCCAGCCAGAGTTAGCTCCTGTCGTCCACAATACCCTGCTCAAGAGTGGGATCGAGCAGCGAGTGCTCGATGATATTTTGGCCGCCAATTCCACAAGCTCGGGCGCAGGCATCATACTCACCTTCCTCAACGAAGCGGCAATTCCCACCTGGCGGAGGCAGCTGGACTTGGTGAAGGAGCAGCGGCTGTCGTCCATGCTCTCTCGATGGGTCATCATCAACTGGGACGACGCGGCGATGAGAGCTTGCCAGGAGTCGGCCGTAGTTCAGCACTGTGCGCTCGATACCCAACTCCTTGATGCTGGGCTTGTGAAACGTGGTGCAAAGGGTGTTCTGGGCCACGAGGCCACCTATCACGACGAGAAAGGGGGCGTACTTCATCAGGTGTATGCCAGAATGTGCTGGCGGCGCGTCGAGATGGCAGCGCTGGCGCTGTGGCACGGGGTACACGTGACCAACCTCGACACTGACGTCCTCACGTTTAGAGAGCCCTTTCCCGGAGGAGGGCCTCCGCAGCTGCCACCACACTTGGCGCCGCGGGGCGTACAGGCGCAGGTGGGTCTTGATTTCTATGGGATCATCTGGGGGCGCGAGTCAGGTTTCAACCGTGAGTGCCCCACCTTTGCGTGCGAGCATCAAAATTACAACGGGGGCGTCTGGCTCGCAAAGGCGCACCCGACCACGATTGCGATGATCAATGATACACTCGCCACTGGGCTGAAATTGTCAGCGGATGCTTTTGAGCAGTCCGCCATGGGCTCGATCATTAAGAAGTGGGCAAAGCAGGGGCTGCGGACGGCAGTGATTGATCCGCTGCTCATGCAGGGTGACGGAAAAGCCATCGGCTCATATGGGCCGCCGCAGCTGAACAAGAGCATCTGCGACAAAGATCTCATTCACTTCTCGGCGACCGGAAAATTCAGTGGGAAGAATTTACGGATGGACCGAGCGGTCAAAGCCTTCAGGGCGGCCTGCAGCACGAGCCCCTCCGCGGTGGGGGGGTCATGGCGAGGTGAGCGCCGCGCCGACCACCGCCCCGACCCACGCGCCGACCCACGCGCCGACCCACGCGCCGACCGCCGCGCCGACCGCCGCGCCGACCGCCGCTCCAACCGCTGTGCCAACTGCCGCGCCGATCGCCGCGCCAACTGCCATTCTCACGATCCGCCTGTGTATGCGTATAGGCGCAGCTCATGGAGACGGTGCCGCTGCCGGCCGACCGTGACAAGGTCACGCACCCGTGCACGCGCGAGTTCCTCGTGGATCCGCCTGCGGCCGCGCCTGCTGCGGACGCTGAGGGCTGCGCCGCCGCCGCCGAGGATGCCGACCGAGAGAACGAGCCGCCGCTCGCCCAGGTTGTCCCAGGTTCGCCAGGGGATGAAGCCCTGCCACGCGTGCGCGGGTGGCAGCAGTGTGAAATCGATGCGGGCATGCGTGAGGCGCCAGTGCTGCAGCGCCGTGCATGAGTCGAGCCTGTTGCTGTGAGAAGGGCGCCCGCAGCCGCCCGCAGCGGAGCGAGCTGCGGGGGAGCGAGACGGGGGATCGCGAGAGGAGGGCGACGAGCGCGGGCACGCGCTGACGGGTGCGTGCGAGGCGCACGTGCAAACATTTCGCGTGGGATGCGCGTGTGAAGCGCGCGGGTTGCACGCGTGCGAAGCGCGCGGATTGTATGCGCGGACTGAGCGTGGCCGGCAACAATTTCGCGCTCTGATGCGCACTTTGGTTGCCACCGCTACGGACTACCAAAGTGCCGACATGTGAAGCGCTCGAGTGTGTGTGTCCGGCAAATGATATTATATGCTATACATACAACTCTTAAGCGAGTAGGGGGCAACGGGGAGATAAAAATAGTGAATGTGCATCGATACTCGTACGAGATAGTGAATACGCGGCGGCCCGTCGTCTAACATGGGCTCAGTCTTGCTCGGAGTCCAAGTGTTGCTCGCAGCCTCGACGAATCCCGCGGATGAGGCGCCAGACCATTTACATGATACCGCAACGAGCACGCCCTCGCAGCATGCACGCCTGTCAGATGAGAACATACACATGCAATTCTCGAGCTCACCTTTGGTCACCCGCGACCTGTCACGCTTCCGCGAAAGCTGTGAGGCAAAGAGTCCGGTACTGCGGCATCTTGTCAACAATGCGCAGCGGTACGATCGCCACGACCGCCTGCTAGTTGTCGACGCTGCGTGCCTTTGTGGCAATAATGGGCTTGGCAACCTGTTCGGTGGCTATGCTATGTGGTTTGCTGTGGCGGCACTCGCCAACCGATCGCTTTTCATTGATTGGGACGGCCTGCGCAGCCTCTAACTATATATAAAAAATGGGAGAGAGAGATGTGTTTGTTGTAAAAATGGTGAAAATGGGCGAAACTAGGGGGTGTGTACCTAGGGTGGGCGACGGCTAGCGCACCACACACCTCTCCTTAAAATCCCTGTGTGGTGGCGGCGTGCCGTCCTCCCATCCCTCCCTTGGGTTGTCTGTTTTCTTTCTTTCTTTGTGTACCTATTGCAGGGCCCTTTTGGGCCAAACAAGACCATCTACCTTGCTTGGTTGGGTGGGAGCTCCATAGAGTTCTTCTTCTTCCATCGAAAATGCACACGAACATGTGCAAATCGCTCGTTTTCTTATGTAACTTCCGGGACTTGACGGCTGATCGGAACGTCTGGTCGCCGTCCCTCGCATCGGCCATGCTCGGCCTCCGGCTCGTGAGCTCCGTCGCCACCATGCTCGTGGCCACAATGCTTGGTCTCCGGTCGACGGACGAGGTAGCTCTCACTGGGCCAAAGGTTGAGCTGAGGAAATTCGCACGGCGCTTCTCGTCGAGCGTCAAGGTGAACGGTGACATCGATGTCCGCAGATTTGTGTCTGCCGGGGAGGAGTTCTCTCACGCGGTCGAGCGGTTCGGCGACTTTACCAGGAGAGGCGTCGTTGACGCGCGGAAGAACCTGAAGCGAGTCGAGAAGGCCGCAGGCGGCCGGGTAGTATCGATGCAGGTGCTGCTGCGGGACGAGCTGCGTCGCGGCTCGCGGCACCCGAACGGGGGGCCAGCGCGGTCTACGGGGGCGGAGGCGCTGCTCTGGTCGCGGCTGTCGGTCTCGTTTTGGGTCGAGATCTTCAAGGAGCACCTGCGGGGCAAGACGTCGCTGCCCGATGCGACGCGGAGCGGGTTTGAGCGCTCGCTCGCCCGGTACCTCGACCGCTTCTCCCGCGCCGCCTTTGCCGCCGGGCTGCGGCAGAGCACCCCCGACTGGGAGGAGGTGCGCCGGCATACGCACCTCGGCTGCGAGAACGGGCAGTGCTCGGACGAGACTCTGGCGGCGGAGCTGAAGGCGTTCGTGCGCGAGGTGGAGCCGGTGCTCGACCGCATGGCGCGGCTGCAGAAGCAGGTCGGCCTGGAGGACCCGCGCACCCCGTAGCTGCTTGCTGCCCCGCCGGCAGTCACCTCGCCTGAGACGGGCCTGTAATATGCTGTACCTCTCCTTTCACGCTGCGCCACGGCCAGCAGGCCCGGCCCCTGCGCCGCCCTGCGCCAAACACACGACAGGCAGAGGACGAGACGAACCCGTGGCGCGGGAACGGGGTTTGCTTATTTATGTACATGCCGGACACCAAGATTAGGTTCGGTCTGTCAGGTCTTTTCTTATATTTGATTGAAAAATTCTTTTTCGAGGTCTACCCGTCATGCGGCAGGTCGCTTGCCCTGGCTCGCTGCCACCGCGGTGGGTCACCAAGGCCTGTGCCATTTGTCACTCTGACACGCTAATCTTGAAAACGTCTCCAACGGAGCTCCGTGTTGCTTCCAGCGCCCTCCCCCGCGCTCCCTGCGGCCATGGCCGATGCTCCTAGTATGAGAGGTCATCTGGCTATACCGGGGTTTGTTGACTCCGTTTTGGGGCCCCCGCCGCCGCCGCCGCTGTCGCCACCGCCCACCTCGTCGCCGCCCGCGCTGCCGCCGCCTCCGCCTCCGCCTCTGCTGCCGGCACCCATTCCGCTACCACCAACCTTGCCCGTACAGAGCCCGTCGCCGCTGCCGCCCTCACCACCTCCTTCGCCGCCCATGGTCCCCGGGGCGCCGATGTCAGAGCGCATCTGCCAGGGCTTGAGATCGTCGACCCGTCTTACGGCTCCAACCAGGACTTGATCCAGGACACGGCCATGTGGCGACTGGCCTTTGGCGTGGCGACTCAGTGCGACTCGTCCATCTTCGAGACCGCGCCTGCCAACTTCCCCTGCTACGACATGGCGTCGAGCCTCTTGGGCGACTTCCACGCCGACGGCGAGGTGAACCTGTTTGACCTCTCGCTGCAGATCCGTATGCTCTTTGGCGGGATTGACAAGGCCGAGAGCTACATGCTCATCAGCAACACTGCCCTCTGGGCGTACGAGAGTCAGAGTGAGTGCTCACGGCGGCGCGACCGGCAGATGACGGCCTCGATCATCAAGTCGTGGGCGGTCACGTGCCCAGAGTCTCTGAGCAGCTGCTACTACGACTGCAACGATGAGCCGGCGTGCCTGGTCTCGCTGGAGCCCGTGCACGAGGCCACACTTGAGCAAGGCTCGTGGTGGAGCGTGCCGCTCCTGCCAACCCCTTGGTCTCGTACTTCGTGCCCAATGGCGTGACGCAGAAGCCAGGCGGCTCCTTCCCGGGCACATTCGTGCAGACCGCTGCCGGCACACCATCTGATGGAATGGGTCGGCCCGCCCCCGAGCCCGCCGCCGCCATCGCCGCCGCCGTCGCCGCCGGTGTCCCCCACCGCGTTGTCCCCGCCTCCGTTGCCACCACCAACGTCGCCGAGCCCTCGGCCTCCTCCGCACCTGCCGCCAGGGCAAGTGCCCCCGTTCCGCCCGCCGCCGCCACCGACCAACGACATTTGGCAGTTCATTTTCACCGGAACGCGTGACTCCTCATCAGCAGCGATCTCTCTCGCCGAGATCATCTTATACGACGACTCGGGTTCAGTGGTTCCGGTCGAGTCTGCTGAGAATCCCGACGGCGTACACTACGCCCCGTGGGAGACGGCAGACAGTGCCGTCGACAGCAACTTGAATACAAAGTGGATCGACGGCAATTTTGCGGGCAACGAAGCGGTGCTGCGACTACAGCTGGCGAGCCACGAGCACGTGGCACAATACGAGTTGGTCACGTCTTCGGGGGCAAACAGCAACGCGAATCGCAAGCGCGACCCCACAGATTGGACGTTTGGCCACCTGACGGCGACGGGTGCATATGAAATCGTAAGCACCGTCGCTGGCTTTGCAGCGCCTAATGCTGCTTCCGCAAGCTATGGCAGATTCTTCTCGATCGCGCCACCACCGTCGCCTCCTGCCCTAGCGCGCACCGCAACACCACCGGCGTTGAATGAAGGAGCTGCCTGCAAAGGGCTTCGAGTGGAGCGCTCCCTGAACTGAGCGTGTGTTCTGTGACTTGTGTCTGTGCGGTTTGTGCGCGCAAGTACAGAGATACTGTACTCGTGGATGTCATATAACGTCAGAACGCAGTCACGTCAAACGCGCTTTGACGAGGTTTGCCACGAAAAAAGGGGCCTCCGAGGGTCGCCCCCCCTTGCCCCACCACTTTGTGTGTGTGGAGAAATTTACCTTACCTTACCTTACCTTTACGTCTACTATCTGTCGTGTCACGTGTGAAGGAACCTGAGAACCGGCTCAGGCCACAGTCGAGTGGAGTCGCATACGGCGAGGGAATGGCGAGCACGGAGTAACATTGGCCGTGCCCATGCTGGCCACGGAGCCGGAACGGAGGCATCTCTGCTGGTACTAGTACATCGCTCAATCTTGCTTCAACCTCAACCGATCGATAGCTGAGGTAGGCCTTCTCCGAAGCACTTCCGACCGTTCCTTGCGCAGTTTGGCCATGCCCTCCTTGTACTCCTCTCTGATGAACGCGATCTCCCTCTCGTCCGCCTCGAGGGCCTTTCTGTCCTCCGACATCTCCTCCGCAAGTCTCTCTGGCGACTCGACGTTTGTCGCCAGCGCCAGCCGGTTCTCTTGTGCCGCGCTAAGCCGTCGGAGCTCCGCCGCCTCCATCTCCTCCGCCCGTTTGATCTTGCGCATCTCATCAAGCAACTCCCGCTCCTTGCGCTCATCGATCTTGCTTTCCCGGCTGGCCGCCCTCAGTGTCGACGCGACAGAGGCGGCGTCCGCGGCGCTCGCGGATAGATGCCACGCCAGCAGCGGCGACACCGCAGCAGAAGTTGCGAGCACTGCACGCCGCGTGACAGCTGTGGCCGCTGGGCGCGAGTGCGCGCTCAGCATGGGAGCGAGTAGAAGCATGGGATCGCGGTGCCATGCGAAAATTCGAGGAAGCACGCGAAGAATGTCTTGGGTCCGGTTTTTCTTCTTGTTGGGAAGGGCCCCCCGGGCATGTTGCCCGTGGCTCTGTGCAGCTTCTCGCTGCTGCTACCCCTGACACCGCCACCGCAACGCGGCGTGCGGAGCGCGGCGCCTCGTCTGCTGGCCGGCGGCAGCGGCGAAAATAGCGACGACGGCAGTAGCGGCGGCAGCGGCGGCGAGGGTGGCGAGAGCGGCGGAGACGGTTGGGACATGTCGCTGCTGCAGCAGAGGATGCAGCAGCAGCAGATGGAGGAGATGATGACCGCCGCCTCCAACTGGCGCACCGGCACGTGCGAGCAGAAGACGCTGCTGGTGCTCGACGACTGGGTGCGCCGGCTGCAGTGCGAGAATGGGCTGGTCGCTTGCGGTACCCACAGCGGCACGGTGATCCTCGCGGACGTCGCCTCTGGCGAGGTGCTCCGGCAGTGGGACCCGCTCCTAAACGAGGAGGAGGAGGAGGAGGAGGAGGAGGAGGAGGAGGCGGCGGCGGCGGCGGCAGAGGCGGCGGCAGACGTGGAGGAGGAGGAGGAGGAGGAGGAGGAGGAGGAGGAGGAGGAGGAGGAGCTGGGGGTGGTGTACGAGGAGGAGGCGGAGGCGGACGACGGCGACGGCACCAGCGAGGTGACCGCGCTCGCATTCGACGGCGACCACGTGGCGTCTGGACACGCGTGCGGCGCCGTCTTCCTGCGCAACACGAGCGGACCCTCCAGGAAGCTTCTAGGAAGCTTCTAGGAGCCTTCTAGGCGCCGTCTTCCTGCGCAACACGAGCCGGACGCTGATGCGAGCGAGCCACGAGGGCGTGGTCACGGGTGTGCACTGGGAGGGCGGCGCGACGGCCTTCTCCGCGTCGGCAGACCGAAGGCTCGCCCAGTGGGACGTACGCACAGGCAGCCGAGTCGCGGCGCTGCAGGCAACGCGCCCCAGAAGCTGACATCTCTCGCCATCTCTCGCCCCATCTCTCCCCATCTCTCGCGCCCTAGAAGCGGAGTACGTGTTCATGTCTCCCAACTAGCGCCCGAGAGGACACGCATTCCGCCGTATTCGGCCGTACTCCGCTGTGTTCGCTGTCCTCTTCTCCGTTGGATTCTGGCGGTGCTCTGAAGACGCTGCACAGTACCGTATTCGTGCCCTGAGGGCGGCGTCTCCTGCTTCTAGGCAAAGCGACCCATATCTCCCCATCTCTCCCCATATCTCCCCATATCTCCCCAGATCTGCTTCTAGGCAAAGCGACCCATATCTCCCCATCTCTCCCCATCTCTCCCCATCTCTCCCCATATCTCCCCAGATCTGCTTCTAGGCAAAGCGACCCATATCTCCCCATATCTCCCCATATCTCCCCAGATCTGCTTCTAGGCAAAGCGACCCATATCTCCCCATATCTCCCCATATCTCCCCATATCTGCTTCTAGGCAAAGCGACCCATATCTCCCCATCTCTCCCATATCTCCCCATATCTGCTTCTAGGCAAAGCGACCCATATCTCCCCATATCTCCCATATCTCCCCATATCTGCTTCTAGGCAAAGCGACCCATATCTCCCCATATCTCCCCATCTCTCCCCATCTCTCCCCAGATCTGCTTCTAGGCAAAGCGACCCCTTCTCGCGGATCTGGGAGTACCCGAGATCACCCGAGATCACCCGAGATCACCCGAGATCACCCGAGATCACCCGAGATCACCCGAGATCACCCGAGATCACCCGAGATTACCCGAGATTACCCGAGATCACCCGAGATCACCCGAGATCACCCGAGATCACCCGAGATCACCCGAGATTACCCGAGATTACCCGAGATTACCCGCTGCAGGCAAAGCGCCCCATCCTCTGCATGGATGTCTGCGAGGGCTATGCCGCCCTCGGCCTCGACGACGGATCGGTCCGCGCCTGCTCACTTCTCCCCCACGCCTCCCCACACCTCCCCCACACCTCCCCCACACCTCCCCCACACCTCCCCCACACCTCCCCCACACCTCCCCCACACCTCCCCCACATCTCCCGGTGATCTCCTCAGGTCTGCGTCTGCTCTCTCTCGCCGCTCCGGCTGCTCTTCTCCTTCAAGGCTAGGGGTATAACGGGTATAAGGGGGTATAAGGGGGTCTTGCTCTTCTCGTTCGAGGCGCACGACTCGCCGGTCTACGGGGGGGATAAGAGGGTAGAGGGGGATATAAGGGGGTACTGCTCTTCTCATAAGGGGTATAGCGGGTATAAACGGGTATAAACGGGTATAAAGGGGGTATAAGAGGGTACTGCTCTTCAAGGCGCACGACTCGCCCGTCTCCGCCGTGCGTCTTGTCACCGTCTCACAGCTCGCCGCCCTAGAAGCGGAAGATCTCCCCCATATCTCCCCCGTATCTCCCCGTATCTCCCCGTATCTCGTCGCCCTAGAAGCGGAATCCCTCCCCCATATCTCCCCGTACCTCCCCGTATCTCGTCGTCCGAGAAGCGGAACACGCAGTCTTGCCCCTCCCAACCCGTGCTCGAGAGCAGACGTGCTCCGCTGTACTCGCCCGTGTTCGGCTGCATTCACTGTATTTGCGTCGCTCCCCCCCCCCCCCCCTGCTTTGAAGCCTCCGCACTCCGCACATCACCGCCTTCCCGCCCCCCCCCCCCTGCTCTGAAACCTCCTCCGCACTCCGCACATCACCGCCTTCCCGCCCCGACGTCGGCGTATGCACCACGCAGGCCCGCAACTCTCTTCTCTGCTACCGCACCACCCATGGGAGAGAACCCACACTGGATTCGAGACTCTGGAGGTGTGGTACGCAGGCTCGTCACCTCGTGCGCCGGTGGCGGCGTCGCGCTCTGGCGCCTCGACGAGGAGGAGGTGGTGGTGCACCGGCTGCTGGCGGGACACTTCCAGGACACGTCGTAGACATGTCCGAGGCGTGTCCTACAGGGCTCCGAGCGGCGGCTGACCCGCTTCGACGGCCACACGGCGCCCGTGGTCTGCGTCGACGGCGGCTTGCAGAGGGGTGGCGCGCCGAGATGCGCCGAGATGCCGCGAGATGACGCGAGATCACCCGAGAGTAGGCGACGCGGAGAAGGTCGTCTCGGGAGCTCGAGACGGGACCGTGCGCGTGTGGGACATCTCCCTCGGCCGGCTGCGCTTCATGCTGCAGGGCTTCACGCCGTACATCGGGTCCGTCCAGCTGTCGTCCTCGTGGCTGATGGCGGACGGCACCAACAACGCGGTCGTCATGATGGACTTTAGCAACGGCGAGCCGGCGGAGGAGGAGGACGACGACGACGAGGACGGCGACGAGGAGGAGGAGGAGGAGTGACCAAAGGTGCGTGAGTGAGTGAATGAATGCGACCCAATAAAATTCCTCCTCGCTGTCCAATTTGGCCGTGGAAAAAAGTCGACAGAGTTAAGTTCGACGTCGTCGTGCGACGGCCGCGAGGGCGGAGAGGGCCGCGGGCCGGGGCCGCACCCCGACCCCCCCCCTGCCCGCGCGCGCCGCGGCGCCCCGCTCCAAGTACCAAGAAGCAAGTCACCAAGTGCCCCCCCTGCGGCGCCCGCCCCGCCCCCACGCGCGGAGGCCTCCTAGAGGGGTCGTTGTGTGCGAGTTTATGGGACACGTAGAGAGAAGAGACTACGAGGTAGCGCTGCCAAACGTTGGGAGCTGAACACTGCCATGCGACCCACTTTGCGGAGGCGAAATAGCGCACGAGCTGTTCACCGGAGCGAGAGACACTGCCAGCCCTGCCGCGCCGTGGTGGTGGCGTAGGTGCATTTCGATGGTGGCGATGTTCTCCGCCGGCGTCTTGGTGGTGCTCAAGCTCGCGCGCTCGATCCAGCACGCGACTTGCCGCTGCCGCAATCGGTTTGTCTCAGTCCACGTCACGCTCGCCATGCGCTCGAGCCCCGCCTGGACGTTGGAGTGGCTCACTACCGCATCGGTATGCTGGAAGAGCGAGCGCGCGAGCGTTAGCACGGGCGTGCCCGTGTAGAAGTTGTCGACGAGCGTGCCGCCATTGAGTGTGACTGTGAACCTTGCGTGCGTGGTGAGGAGATTGATCGAGGAGCTCGACTCGAAGAGCAGCCAGCCGCAGGCGCTCTCGTTCAGCCTCAGAAGGAGGCGACGCTGCTGGGCCTTCTCCGGACCGTCGATCGCAGGGTGGATCTTGACGACGAGCGGCAGCGTGCGACTGGAGCAGTACGAGCAGGTCTGGTTGAGAAGATCAGGGTATGTGATGTGGCTGAACTTGTTAACCGAGACGTCGTCGAACTTCTGCGTGGGCACGAAGACGTAACGGCTGTTGAAAACATGCGCCGGCACGTCGAGTATCGATTGCTGCGGCCGCTTGCTCGAGTCCAGCTCCAGGTGGCGCTGCACGAGCAAGCGGCAGCGCGAGTCTTCGTACCCACGCTGCACGAGACTGTTGAGCGATCGCACGTAGAACGAGTAGGACGCCACCGCCGGCGTACTGCTCGAGGAAGGCGCGTGCCTCGCTCTCGCCGTTGAAGGCGACGCAGATGGCGCGCGACGTGCCGATGACGGGCACGCTGTTTGGCGTCGTCGACGTCCATGCGCGCGCTCTCGAGCTCGCTGTTGAGGCGGCGCTTCACGCCGGTCGTCTGACCATCGTTGGTCGGTTGCGCGCCGTCGCGGCCGCGCGCCGCGCCCTCGGCAGCGGCAGCGTTGAGCGCCGGCGGCGGCAGGCCGGCCGAAGCGAACGCCATTCAAGTGAAGCGCCGTTCAAGATGAGGTGGTTCGCAGGGAAAGGGCGTAAAGTAAGCGGCAGCAAGATTTTTTTCTTCGCGATGTCCACCCCGTCGCGCCGCTCGCGCCGCTCGCGCCGCCTCGCCGCCGCCTCCGCCACCGCCCCCTCGCCAAGCACGCCGCCGCCCGCCCGCCTCCTCGACCTCCCCAGGGAGCTCCTCGAGCGCGCCCTCTCTCGCTGCGACAGCCCCCTCGACATCGCTCGCGTCGCGGCCGTCTCGCTGCTCTTCCACGCCTCGCTTGCGGTGGAGGCCATCCGCTTGTGGGCGCAAGAGCGTGGCTTCGAGCTGCCGGCGCAGCCGGAGGGCGAGAGCTGCGCCGTGCGGTGGCTGTGCTATGCAGCGTTGCTGTGGGAGTCCAACCCGCCGGCGAGGGCGGCGGTAGGCCAACGGCACAGCGTCTTCATCGACGGCGAGGGGCGGCTCTCGTCGTGCGGCTCTGCGCCATCCTTCTTTCCAGCCCTGCTCGGCCACGGCGAGGGTGTGACGCGGCTCAACATGCCGACCCGCCTCCCTTCTTCCCCGCTGGGCGGCGAGCATGCCGTGAGCGTGTCGGCTGGAATGTACCACAGCCTCGCCCTCACCGCCGACGGCGTCTGGAGCTGGGGCGGTGGAGACTATGGTCAGTTGGGCCACGGCGACCATCAGCACCAGCTGCTGCCGAAGAAGATCGAGGCCTTTGCTGACCAGCGCGTCGTCGCCGTGTCGGCTGGAGGCATGCATAGCCTCGCCATCACCGCCGCCGGCAGCGTCTGGAGCTGGGGCTATGGAGACTTTGGCCGGCTGGGCCACGGCGACGCGCAGCGCCAGCTCCTGCCGAAGAAGATTGAGGCCTTCGCTGGCCAGCGTGTCATCGCTGCGTCTGCTGGAGCCGGGCACAACCTCGCCATCACCGCCGACGGCGGTGTCTGGAGCTGGGGCTATGGAGCCTTTGGCCAGCTGGGCCACGGCGACGAGCAGCACCAGTGGCAGCCGAAGAAGATCGAGGCCTTGGAGGGCCGGCGCGTCGTCGCTGTGTCTGCTGGAGACCACCACAACCTCGCCCTCGCCGCCGACGGCAGCGTCTGGAGCTGGGGCAAAGGAGCCGATGGCCGGTTGGGCCACGGCGACGAGCAGAGCCAGCTGCTGCCGAAGAAGGTCGAGGACTTCGCTGGCCAGCGCGTCTTCGCTGTGTCGGTTGGGCGGTACCACAGCCTCGCCCTCACCGCCGATGGCTCCGTCTGGAGCTGGGGCGGTGGAGCCTCTGGCAAGCTGGGCCACGGCGACCAGCAGGAGCAGCTGCTGCCAAAGAAGGTCGAGGCCTTCACCGGGCAGCGCGTCGTCGCTGTGTCATCGGGAGATCGCCACAGCATCGCCCGCACCGCCGACGGAGCCCTCTTCTCGTGGGGCCAGGGCGAATGCGGCTGCCTAGGCCACGGAGAGGACTTGTCGAACCAGCTGCTGCCGAAGAAGGTCGAGGCGTGTGCGCCGGGGCGTGGTCGGTCTGACTCTGAGCAGGGTCCAGGGAAGGCGGATGTCGCGTGAGAGTGCGTCGAGAAGCGAGGCGCTTGCCCCAGCCACCACGTTGTGTGTGTGGAGAAGTTTGCCTAAACTCAAAAAAAACTGGGCGTAGGCGGACGTAGGCTCTAGCCGCAGCCCCAACTCTTGCCGCTCTTCCGTGTCGGGTTGTGACGAGGGGTGAGGGGACACGGATTGAAGATCCCTCACACCAAGATCGTGCAGGGCGGGGACACATGTCCCTAAATCCCATCTCGTCTCAGAGTTTGCCCGTTTTATTTATTTATTTAGGCTCACGTCCGACACGCGACAGCAGGAAGCGAAAATGGGGTATACAACAAAACGTGCCGCAGGCGCAGACAGGCAGGGAGAACGTGAAGCGGATAAAACTCGCGCCGCAGGCTCAGACAGAGGCACGCGTGGAGAACGGGGGTGCGGTGAGCACCTACAGTCACACAACACACGTACCGTAGCGCCCAGGCGCAGTCTCCGCAGACAGACAGGGAGAATTAAGAGGACAAAACACAAAACTCGCGCCGCAGGCGCAGACAGGCAGGGAGAACGGGGAGCACAAAACGTACCGCAGGCGCAGACAGGCAGGGAGAACGGGGAGCACAAAATCTACAGCAGGCCTGGCGAGGCACTCCCACGCCTCTCGGGGTTCGCCAGCAGCAGGCGCAGACATGCAGGGAGAAGGGGAGGGGACAAAACGCTTGCGCCGCAGGCGCGCAGGCACAGCTTGTCTGGCCAAACGCTTCCAGTGCTAGCTAGTGAACATGCGTGGAGGTGGTGGTGCGAAATGGTGGTGGTCAGACGATCTGGCTCATCTGGGCATGCGGCGCTGCCGACTCTTCGCAGGCTTAGGCAAGGTCCTCGCCACTCGACGGCTCCGTCTTTGAAGAGGAGCCGCGGGGCTGCGTCGTTCGAGCGAGGGCGGTGACGCGGCGAACGCGCGACTGAGCCGTCTGCTTGGTCGCGCCGAGCGCCTGTGCGAGGAGGGCTATCGACACCTGCCGGTGCGGGCCAGCGTGGCAGCCGACGGCGAGGTCATGGTACAGCCCATCGGCGATCAGGTCGCGCGGCGTCACCTCGAAAAAGTGGGCAAAGATGCAGCCGCCGCGGACGGCATCATTCTCGTGCGCCATGACGATCGGCAGCCTGGCCTCGCGCGCGGCGCGCACCTGCTCTGCGAGCGCCTCGGCGCCCTCGCCGGCCCACGTCGCCTTGTTCAGGTAGAGCAGCATGTGGGTCGCCTCGTCGCCGCCGCTGTCGCTCGCGCGAGGCAGCGAGGAGAGGAGCGAGGGAATGGCGTCGGTGACAGAGATGCTGCCAGCCACGGCCACCGCGACTGCATTGGCAAGCACTCGCGCCCCGGCGTTCAAAGTCGAGGCCCAGAGAACCACCGGCTTGGGGAAGGCGAGGTCGTCGGCTCGAAGCTCGCCCGGGACGCACATTGGCAGCTCCTTTTCGCCCTCGTACTTTGGCGTCTTCAGCAGCAGCGCCTCGGCGATGACCTTGAGCGAGACGTGCTGGAAGGCCTCGATTCGATGCCACACCACCATCGGCCAGCCGGCGTCAAAGATGGCGGCCCGCAGCTCCTCGGGGCACTCGGATCGCAGCTCGGCGAGCGTGCCTCCGCCCTTGTCCGGGTCTGCCTCGTGGACGAGCACGAGCGGCTTGCCCATCTCCAGCGCGGCGCGGATCTCTCGCAGGCAGTTTGTCGAGCGTAGGTAGCCCCGCGAGAGGAAGCAGAGCACCACCTGCGAGCGACCAATGTACGCCTCCAGCTCTCCGATGTTTTTGAGGTCGTCGACATCGAGGAAGATCTCGCAGCCGGGCAGGAACTGCAGAAGCTCATTCTTGATTACGGCGACGGCGTCCTACAAGGGAGGAAGGCCAGGTCAGGTCTTCTCCACACACGAAAACTGGCGGGGCAAGGGAGTGCCAAACCTGCCCCGTGCTCCAGACATGGCTGAGGAAGAGGTGCCACTGCTGGCCGTCGGCGAGGGTGATGCCGTCGCGCATCGGCTCGCGTTTCGACGAGGCGAGCCGCATGGTCTTCGCCCTCGTGGCGCTGACCGCCGATACGAGGATGACGGCTAGCGAGATGGCGAGCATGACCGCGGTGAGGACGACGACAAAGGTGGTGGCGCTGCGCGAGGTCTTGTAGCCGACGAGATTGTAGCACATGCCTCCGTACATAGTGCTGTCGCACAGCTGCGGCGGCGGAGGGGGCGGGTGGTGTGAGGTTGCGCGGAGCTGTGAGAGAGGGACAGCGTCGGGCGCGGACCTGGATGACCACTCCTGACGCGAAGCAGCACGTGAGGAGCAGGTTGGCGATGCAGGCCAGGTAGAGGTCGTCGGAGCGCCGGTAGGGACGGGCGAGCGCTAGCAGAGTGAGAAACATGGCCGAGACGATGCCGGCGACCACGGTGCGCAGCAGCTTCCTGGAGCCGTACTCCTGGTCGATGAAGAGCACCATCGAGGTGAGGAAGATCTTGCGGACCAGGTCGAGCACCTCCCAGAAGAGGAAGCCGGCAGAGTAGTCCCGCCAGAGGAAACTCGTCGCGCGGGAGAGCGGCGTAGCGCGCTGCGCAGCCACGGGCTTGCGGACGCGGAGCAGCAGCGCCAAGAAGCCGAGCGGCACGAGGACGGGCCAGAGGGCGAAGAAGGCCCAAAAGTACGGCGCGAGTCCGCTAGTCTTGTCGTCCCACGTCGGGCCGTCGTCGCACGTGAGCGAGGGGTCGGCGAGCAGGTAGCTGATCCGCTGGCCTGTGGCGTCGTCGTAGCCAAAGGACTCGCACAGCCTCGCGCTGAAGATGGAGCGCGAGACGGAGGGAAGCGCGAGGTAGAAGATGAAGATCGCCCAGTAAAGGAGGCGGCCGAGCAGCTGGTGGTCGAATGCCTGCTCGACGTTGGGAACCGCCGCCGCCGCCACAATGGCGAGCGACACGAGGGCGACGGCGACGTACGGCCAGATCCCTGCGACGAGCAGCCGCGTGCTCATGGCTCCGAGGCAGCGGCCGGGGATGGCAACATCGAACAGGTCCAGGCTGAACAGCTTGAGCATGTTGAGCCAGCGCGTAAAGTGCTCGTCAAGGCGGACGCCGTAGACGACGCCGAGGATGCTGCTCACCTGGTAGAAGCTGACGAGGACCTTGAACTTGGGCTGCAGGCCGACCGCGGACTCGATGCGGGTGGCCCGCTGCCGGAGGCGGCGGGAGAGGGGGAGGCGGCGGAGCCCAGCGTAGGCGGCGGCGAGCACAGCGATGACGATGACAAAGAGGAGGAAGACGCTGACGGAGCGAGCCGTCGAGGGGCAGGCGACGCAGCGCCCCGCGGCAGAGCTAAAGTAGTCCGAGTCCGCGACGCAGACCTCGCAGAGCGGGCCGGTGTGGCCGGCGGTGCAGTACGGGTCGTCATCTCCGTCGGTGAGGTGGCGGCGGCGGGAGGGCTGGCCGGAGCCACCAGAGCACGTCTCTGAGTCACAGTGGTGAAGCTCCGAGGTGGCGTTGGAGGCGCGCCAGTAGCCGACGTGCACGCCGAGGGACGCGAGAGCGGTACCGGCGCTACAGTTGGCGTTGGGTGGGCACGGCTTGCAGTGCTCGGTTGGGTTCTGGAAGACGTCATCCGGGAGGGCGCTCGCGTCCTTCAAGTAGAAGTCGTTTTTGCAGATGGAGCAGGTGACATCGCCGCTCTTAGAGCTGAGGGGGTGGGGGCAGGGAGTGCACTGCGAGAGGCCGTCGCTCGCCGCGTAGGTGCCCGCCTCGCACTCCTCGCAAGCGGTAGTGGAGGCTGCGAAGTTGCCTTTCGGGCACAGCTCGCACGTGGACATGTTGGCTGACGAGGCGATGCTGCCTGGAGAGCACACGGCAGGCGCGGCGCCACCTCCTGCGCACGACGAGCCGGCAGGGCAGGCGAGGCACTCGGGGTCGCCGTCGGCGTCCGTCACGTTGGCGGACGTGCCCGCCTCGCACTGCGCGTCCAGCTCGCGCGACGAACCCAACGGGCAATACTTGCCAGACGCGCAGCGGACGCAGGCGGCCTGGCCGGGCTCGCTCTGGTAGTAGCCCTGGGCGCACAGCTCGCACTCACTCTGCCCGGGGCTGGCGCCAAAGCTCCCGGCGCGGCAGCTTTTGCACGTGCCGCTGCTGTTTGCGCCGGTGGTCGGGCTGAAGGTTCCGAGGGGGCACTGCTGACAGGCATCGGACGAGCTGCTGCCCTCCTCCTCATTGTACGTCCCCGCACGGCACGGCGTGAAGCCGCCGCCGCATTCCTCGGTATTATCGCAGAACCCTCCCGCGTCACACCTGTCGCATGAGGTTTGCCCGCGCTCTGGCTGGAATCGGCCGGGGGGGCACTGTTTGCACTCGGTCCGACGCGTCTCGTTTTGGTATCGGCCCGCAGGACACTCGAGCGCTTGAACGGTGCCTATGTGCCGGCAGAAGCTTCCCGCGGGGCAATCCGTACAGCCCGTCGCGTTGAGCTGGTTCGCGAATGTGCCGGCCGGACAGGCGTCACAGCTGTCTGCGCCAGGATTGGACTGGCTGTGCCCCGGAGAGCACGGGATGCACGACTCGGCACTGGCTGCGCCGGTGACGGGCATGTAGAAGCCCGCTGCGCAGGGTGTCGGTGTCACTGTGCCCTCAAGACAATACCTGCCCTGCGGACACGGCCCACCGCACGTGGGGGTGATGTGAGAGGTAGTTGTCCCCACTGATCCCGCCGCGCAGAGGTTGGCGCAGCCCTCAAAGTCGCCCGAGACCTCTCCGACTGTTGACGACCACTGACCGAGGTTGCACTCCCAAGTGATGGCTGAGGGAAAGAAAACGGTGCTCGTGCTGTTTCCCACGAACCGCGTGCTGCTCAACGTCGACACCGCGTCAAAGGTCGGGCCAGACTCGTATGCGATGGCAGCGCCGACGGTGGCGTCGGAAACGGTGGCGTCGTTTCCGACGAAGGCGGCGCCTTGGATGGCAAACGTCGCGGCGCGGACAAAGAGTCCACCGCCCGATGCCGAGGCGCTGGAGGTGGCCGCGCACGCTGTGATCGTGGAGGAAGTCAGGGCGTGATCGCCAGATCGCAACGAGAGCCCACCGCCGCTCGCGCGCTCGTGGCCGACGGCGGCGCAACGAGCGACGGTGACGGATGTCAACTCGACGTGGGGCGGGAGCTGCGGGTCACGCTGCAGGTACAAGTAGGATATTGGCCAAGCGCGCAGCGCACCATCGTAGCCGACAGTGGCGATGCGGCTCCCGTCGGGCGAGTAGGCGACCGAGATGATGATGGGGCTGCTGCGCGCGTTCAGCCTCTGCAGAGGCGGCGAGGACAGGTCCGAGGCGTCCCACACGCGCAGCGCATTGTCGCTGCCGACCGTGGCGATGCGGCTCCCATCGGGCGAGTAGGCGACCGAGGAGATCCGGCTGCTGTGTGCGTTCAGCCTCTGCTGCAGAGGCGGCGAGGACCCGCTGCTGCACACGACTGACGTGCCTATGACGGCGCAGCTGCGCAATGCGAGGTCCGAGGCGACCCACACGCGCAGCGCCTTGTCGTTGCCGACCGTGGCGATGCGGCTTCCGTCGGGTGAGTAGGCGACCGAGGAGATGCTGTCGCTGTGTGCGTTCAGCTTCTCCAGAGGCGGCGAGGACAGGTCCGAGGCGGCCCACACGCGCAGCGCCTTGTCGTTGCCGACCGTGGCGATGCGGCTCCCATCGGGCGAGTAGGCGACCGAGGTGATGCCGCTGCTGTGTGCGTTCAGCTTCTCCAGAGGCGGCGAGGACAGGTCCGAGGCGTCCCACACGCGCAGCGCACTGTCGTAGCCGACCGTGGCGATGCGGCTCCCGTCGGGCGAGTAGGCGACCGAGTAGATGCCGCTGCTGTGTGCGTACAGCCTCTGCAGAGGCGGCGAGGACAGGTCCGAGGCATCCCACACGCGCAGCGCCATGTCGTCGCCGACCGTGGCGATGCGGCTCCCATCAGGCGAGTAGGCGACCGAGAAGATGATGCTGCTGTGTGCGTTCGGCTTCTCCAGAGGCGGCGAGGACAGGTCCGAGGCGTCCCACACGCGCAGCGCCCTGTCGTTGCCGACCGTGGCGATGCGGCTCCCATCGGGCGAGTAGGCGACCGAGGAGATGATGCTGCTGTGTGCGTTCGGCTTCTCCAGAGGCGGCGAGGACAGGTCCGAGGCGTCCCACACGCGCAGCGCATTGTCGTAGCCGACCGTGGCGATGCGGCTCCCGTCGGGCGAGTGGGCGACCGAGGTGATGCTGATGCTGTGTGCGTTCGGCTTCTCCAGAGGCGGCGAGGACAGGTCCGAGGCGACCCACACGCGCAGCGCACTGCCGCCGACCGTGGAGATGCGGCTCCCGTCGGGCGAGTAGGCGACCGAGGCTCGAGCTTGCCCAAGCGAGATGCTGTCGCTGTGTGCATTCAGCTTCTCCAGAGGCGGCGAGGACAGGTCCGAGGCGTCCCACACGCGCAGCGCATTGTCGAAGCCGACCGTGGCGATGCGGCTCCCATCGGGCGAGTAGGCGACCGAGTTGATGCTGATGCTGTGTGCGTTCAGCCTCTGCAGAGGCGGCGAGGACAGGTCCGAGGCGTCCCACACGCGCAGCGCCTTGTCGTTGCCGACCGTGGCGATGCGGCTCCCATCGGGCGAGTAGGCGACCGAGTAGATCCGGCTGCTGTGTGCGTTCAGCCTCTGCAGAGGCGGCGAGGACAGGTCTGAGGCGGCCCACACGCGCAGCGCCTTGTCGTTGCCGACCGTGGCGATGCGGCTCCCATCGGGCGAGTAGGTGACCGAGTAGATGCCGCTGCTGTGTGCGTTCAGCCTCTGCAGAGGCGGCGAGGACAGGTCCGAGGCGTCCCACACGCGCAGCGCCTTGTCGTTGCCGACCGTGGCGATGCGGCTCCCATCGGGCGAGTAGGCGACCGAGATGATGCCGCTGCTGTGTGCGTTCAGCCTCTGCAGAGGCGGCGAGGACAGGTCCGAGGCGTCCCACACGCGCAGCGCCCTGTCGTAGCCGACCGTGGCGATGCGGCTCCCGTCGGGCGAGTGGGCGACCGAGGTGATGCTGCTGCTGTGTGCGTTCAGCTTCTCCAGTACCCTGTCAATCGCCATCTCGTTCGAGGCGTCGATGGCGCCGCCGTACGCCGCGCCGTCGAGCGAGACTACACTCGACCCCTCGATCGACGACTCGGTCGCAATCAAAGTCCCGCCGTGCCGCACCTTGACCGCCCCGCCGCTCGCCTGCGCACCGCCGTTGACGAGGTGCACGCGCTCGAGCTCGAGCGTGCCGCCAAAGGCGACGTCAAAGTGGCGGGAGCAGTTCATGGCGTCGAGGGTTGCGCCGGCGCCCACGCTCCGCAGAGTCATGTGCACGGAGTGCACGCGAAGCTGCGAGCAGACGGCCCATTCGAGGCGGGCTCCCTCTGGCAGCTCGACGACGAGGTCGCCAGGCTTGCCGGTTTGGTTGTTGACCGAGTCGCGGAGCTCGGTGAAAGTGCTCGCGGCGTAGGTAGGCGACAGAGGCGGCGTCGGAGTGAGCGGCGGCAGCTGCGGCGACGCTGGCGGCGCAAGCTGCGAGAAGGAGACGTCGTTCAGCGCCATGTCCGACCTGTAGCCCGACCCCGTCCGGCTGTTGAACCGGTCCTGCGTCGCCGAGGCGGGCAGGGCGACCGCCGCGTCGCGCCTTTCGTCGCCCTGGTCGCCGGTCCTGCTCCAGAGCGTCGACCATCCCGTCTCGTTGTTGTAGGGTAAAAGAGGCGTCGGAGAGAGCGGCGACGCGGCCGCCCTGCCCACGAGCAGCGCCGCGGCGGCCACGCGGAGTTGGGCGGCGGGTGGCTGGAGCGAGGCGACTCGCCCGAGCCGCAAGGCTCCCGCGCCGACGAGGCCCGTCTCGACCAGCCTCCGGGCCTGCCAAGCTGCGTCGGCCGCACACGAGTCGGGCACGATGCTGTTGACGGATAGGAGACCCGACATGGCGCCGCGCCCCCGAGTGTTCAAGGCCTCGTAGGCCACGCCGCACAAGCCGACCATTGCGACAAAGTAGAAGAAGAAGAAGAAGATCTGAGTGCTGCCAGTCAGTGCCACGACCTCGTTCTCCTTGGCGCGCCTCGAGCGCTTCTGGCCGTCGACCTTGTCGGGGCCAGTCTTGCTGGCCGAGGAGCCGCTCCACGACAGCGCCACGACAGAGAAGCCCAGGCACCCCATGAGGGCACCGATGAGGAGGGGAGAGCTGCCGGCCGTGTTCGTCTCGGCCGTGTTGATCTCCGCCTGCGGAAAGGCAAGCGCGTGCGACAGTCCGTCACGCACGCTGGAAGAGGCGCGATGAGTGAAAGCGAGTGGCTTGGCAGGGCACGCAGGGCAGGCCGTGCGGCAGGCAGGCCAGAGGGGTGTGACGGGTTGGCGATACGCGATGCGGCGGCGCGGCAGAGAGCAACGCTGATCGCCTGGTCCACGCTGATCGCCTGGTTCACGCTGATCGCCTGGTCCACGCTGATCGCCTGGTCCGCGCGCTCCATGCCAGGGGCGGCCCAGCAGCCGGGTGGCTCCCCGGACTCGAGCACGAGGGAACCCACAAGGCGGTACCAGGGAGCGCTGCCGGTCGTGTCCATGTCGGGTGCCTCGCTCTCTCCCTGAGAAGGGAGAGGGGGGGGTTCCGTCAGGCGCGCAGGAGGAGGCGCGATGAGTGATAGAAGCGAATGCCGCTCAGAGCAGTCAGGGCAGCGCTCAGAGCAGTCAGGGCAGGGTAGAGCGGCGCATGAGGTGTTCTAGAGGGGCGAAGGGTGGGCGAATACGCAGTGCGGCGACGTGGCGAGTGCACTGCGGGTCGCCGATGCCTGGTCACTCCGCTCGAGCTCGACCTGCTCGACCTCGAGGTCGGCGCGGTCAACGGAGGCGCAGGCGCCCCGCCAGTCGGGAATCTCACTCGAGAAGGAGAAGAGGTCAGTCGACCCACGAGGGGTGGCCACCGCATCGGGCGGTGCCTCGATCTTGTGCTCCTGGCTTGTGGCTCGAGAAGCGTTTGCCGGTCTGTCAATCGCCCGCCGCTCACCGCCAGCGCGGGGAAGAGAGGTGTTGACGAAAGCTGTCGGGCTCGAGATGCTCGACCGGCGTGCGGCAACAGCGGAGACTAGGAAGGCCAGTGTGAAGGCCATTGGCAAACGGTGAGGGCTTTGGGCGTCCTGGATCGCCAACGCGTCCTGGATCGCCAACGTGTTGGATCAAGGCGTCAAGGTGGCAAATCCATCGCACGCTTCGGAGTATACCGACGGAAGCCGAGGCAGAAAGGTTTCTCATTTTTCTCCGCTTTTCTTCACAGGATTTTCCTGTGAAGAGAGACGTAGAGAAACAGATCTTTCAAACTCGGTGTCGAACCACCACCCCGGCTCGCCGGCGTACCCGTTATCATTTCCCCCCTCGGTCCCCTCCCCCGGGTACTCCAACCTCAACCTCCGACGGGGCGGCTCCGGGTTCCCCCAGGTCCGCGCGGGTCCGTACGGTGACCGCCACGCCGGCGGCGGGGGCGGAGGCGGTGGCGGGGGTGGCGGGTACGGCGGCGGTATTGGCGGCCGCAGCGCTTGGTGTGGAGCCTCAGGGGCGGCCCCTCGACCCAGCGGCCGTTCCAGCGGTGGGGGCAGAAAGAAAGAAAGAAAACAGACAGGCCAAGGGAGGGATGGGAGAACGGCACGCCGCCACCACACAGGGATTTTAAGGAGAGGAGTGTGATGCGCTAGCCGTCGAGCGGTGGGGGCGGAGGCGGTGCGCGCAGAAAAAGTGTTTTCTTTCGGCAGGTCTTCCGCCATCAAGACTATCTGATGCAGCAGGGCCTCCCAGAGAGCCTCGCCGCCAGCCTCGTCAGGCTCCGAGCCGTGCGGCAGCGCTCAGCCGAGGTTAACAACTTCAACTCGCGCGTGGATGCGGTTGAGAGCGAAGTCATGCAGGAGGTGACCCGTTTGCAAGACGAGCTGCGCCGGCAGCAAGAGCAAGGCCGAACGCTGGCACAGCTCAGCTTCAGGCCCGACGTCAAGCTGCTCTCTCTCGATGGCAATACTGCCGTTCCTGCGCTGCGGCACGTGCTCACAAGCAACTCGCGCGTCCTGGAGCGCATGTTCGCCGCGCACACTGCCGAGGCTCAGAGTGGCACCATCAAGACGGAGGCGACGCTCTCTGTCCTCGAGCACGTCATGAAGTCGCTACACTGCGCGGCCTGCGCAGACGACGAGGCGGATGCGGTCGTCCTGCTCGGCGCCTGCGAGCTCGCGGCTCGGTGGGAGCTCGGCGCAGTGTTTCGCTCCACAGCGTTTGCCCTGCGAAACAAGTTGGACGCACGCTCGGCGGCGCTGGTCCTCGCCGCCGCCGACAAGCACGTCGAGGCTGACGCCGCGAGCGCAGGCTGGCAGAAGCTGCGCGAGGATGCCGCGGCGGCGCTTGCACGCCTCATGCCGATGGGCGCGCTGCAGCCCGCCTTCAAGACGCTGGGCCTCAGCTCCATCCTCGAGGTTGTCAGCCACGTCAAGGAGGACACGGTGACCGTGCCGGACCTCGCCATTGACATCACGTCGCCCGGCTACACCGGCAGCCAAATCGATTTCTTCGGCCCGCTGAGCAAAGACCTCGTTTGGCGGCCTCGCGACCGAGATGGAGTCAAGTTTGACGAGCATTGGCTGGGCGCCCAGAAGCGCGACGACAGTTCTCTCACCCTCTACATGAAGAACGTGGGGCACGTCGCGGGCAAGCAGGTGGAGTTCGCCATCAAAGCCAACAACAAGGAGTGGAGGGGCGACAACGATGCCGGGATGTCTACGTTGCCGGCGGGGCAGGGCTTCGGCTGGCATGACTTCCTCTCACCCCAGGAGATCCCGACCGCCGCCGTAGAGGGCAAGATCACCGTTCGCGGCACGGTGACCGTCCCCGCACGGCAGCGCAAGGCCGACGTCCTCAACATGTGGCTCCTCGCCACCGAGAGCGTCAACGAGCCCCTTTCCCCCGCCGAGCTGCTCCTCTGCTTGCGCGCGCACGCGTGCGACTTTAACGCCGCGGCCGCCGACACGAGCGCGCTCAAGGAGCAGCTCAGCGAGCGGGGGCTGGACACGTCGGGCGGCGTCAACACTCTGCGGACGCGGCTTCGGGACGCCATGCACGCGGCGCTGCCCGTGGCATCCCCGCCATCGCGGCTCCGCCATCTCGGCTCCGCGTGCCACGCGCTCGCCGAGCTGACGGCAGTGTTCCTCCCTAAGGCCGTCGCGGACGGCAGCCTGTTTGAGCTCGACGCAGCGTCCTTCTCGATGGTGCTCGCGCAGGACAAGCTCGTCGTGGCCAGTGAGAGCGCCGTCCTCGAGCACGCCCTGCGCTGGGCGTCGCGTGCGGGCCGCACGGAGGAAGTAGTGAGCCGCGTGATGCCGCTCGTGCGCTTCCCGCTCGTCTCACTGCTTCGCCCCTCCGCCGCGCTCAAGAGGCTGCAGCAGGGCAACGCGGTGGTGGCCCAGCTGATCAAGGAGGCGCTCGCGCTGCAGGTCAAGCCTGCGTCGGCGGTGACGACTTTCGTGCCCACCAGGCACCGCCTGATCGAGGGCGTGCTGCCCGACGACACCGACGACGTGCCGCGCGCCAAGCGCCGCAAGTACTGCAAGGACGACAAAGTGGCGGCGGTGGACCCCGCCGAGGCGATCTTCGCCACTGCCTTTTGAGAGAGGCAAGGTGGCGGCGGTATTGTACCATCATGTACCACAGATATATAGACGGAGGTACGCGGTCGGAGATCCTTCTACTCTGTCTATCTACTGTCTTGTACGTATAAAAAAAGAAAGAAAGAAAACAGACAACCCAAGGGAGGGATGGGAGGACGGCACGCCGCCACCACACAGGGATTTTAAGGAGAGGAGCGTGTGGTGTTAGCCCTCGCCCACCCTAAGCCTTACCCTTCAGGGGTCATGCAAAATAAATCTGAGAAATATTCGCGGGCGTATCTAGATACAAGTCCGCGCACAAAATCCGTCAGCAGTGCTCCTCCGGGAATGTACGTAAGAGCTACATACACTGAAAATGATTTTCGGCCGGCCGCAGGTCGGGTTGGACGCGGCTGTTTCGGCCGGCGGTCGGGGTCGAGTATCGCGCACTGCTATTGGAGACTGAATGAACACACATGGCACTTTTGACACGACGCACGACGAAACGACAGTCCGACACAGATCACAGATCACAGTGTGTGGGCATGCGGACCGGACTCGACCCGGCGCAGCTCACATCGCAAGAGTGGCACGTCGCCACAGGCGTCCACGGGATTCGGCGCCTCATCACTGGACGGGCCGGCCCGCCTTGAGCAGCTCGTTGGTCTCTCGCTGCGCGGCGAGGAGGTCCTTGAGCAGAGACGTCTGCTCCTCGAGCAGCGGCGCGAGCACCTTGGTGCCGTCCGAGGGGACCGACGACAGTGGGAAGCGGCTCGGCGGCGCGTCACCGCCACGATGCATCGATACGGCCATCGGGGCGACGGTGCCGTCGACACCGTCCACCGGCTCGCCGCGCTTCATCGCCCAGACATCGCTCTTGAAGAGGTCGGGGTCCTTGAGCCCGCGCAGCGTCAACTCGTGCTTCTCCACGGCTGGCCCATCGCTTGACGAGGCTACGAAACCCGACGAGGCCGTGTCGACGTGAACGACCTTGAACGTGCGCGGCACCAAGTAGCAGCACGCGCCCACCGAGCCTGCCGGCTCCTCGATGTCGCAGTCGGTCATCTTGTCGAATGGAATTGTCTTCGAGGTGCGGCCCCTCTCCTGGCAGTCGAGACGGCATGCGGCGTGGTGGCGGTCCACGACGTACTTGATGCCATCGCGTGTGATGGCGAGATGCGTGGCGTTGGTCGCATCACGGACGTTTGGAACGGTGAGGCATGAGTACGTTGCGCATCCGAGCAGCGCGAACGGTAGCGTGGGTGGGAAGAACGCCATGCCGACGAAGTTGGACCATGCGACCTCTGTATCGAAGGCGGCAACCGCGTCGTAATCGATCTCGTACGTCTTGAGCACGTCTTGGCCGTCGAAGAAGTGGTCCTTGAAGTCGGTCGCGGGGCCCGCGATGTGCCGGCCCTCGGCGAGGAGCGGCGAAGAGCCTGTGTTTTCCATCGGGGCGTCCGACGTGAGTGATCGACAATCCACTATTGGCCGCCGCGCGCGCCGACGAGACGCCGAACGAACGGATCGCGGGGACAGTGGCAGAACGGGCCGATGAACAAGAAAAAGAGTCGCAACACCAATCCGGACACAAGGTATGTCGCCGCGCCGAAGAAATTCTTGCAGATTTTCTTCTTGATTTCCTCAAAAATCCATCCTGAAACTTCGCCGAAAAGACGGAAGAGAGCGAATCATTCTGTGAATTTTCTCCTTGACGTTCCTCTGCGCTCTGGCCCGCCGCGCTCTCCCTGTCCTAGCGGCCGTGACTCATCTGCTTCGGGCAGCATCGGTGTTCTTTGAGCTCTTTCTGAGCCGATGGTGCTTCCACTGGTTGCACCACGCCCTGTCTGCACCGTGCCGATGAGCCGCGCTGCCCTGGCGGTGCACGAGGCCGCCTGCCAGATGATCGACGAGCACCGGCGCGCGTGGGAGGGAGCCATTGCGTCCGCTGCGCGGAGCCAGTCTACGCGATGGAGCGGCAGCTCGCGAGGACGCACCGCGGCGACAACCTCATCTTTCACAAGGCCTGCTTTCGGTGCGAGGACTGCGGCACGCTGCTGCGGCCAGACAGCTGGGAGGTGCACGGGGACGCGGCGGCGCTCGATGCTGGACGCGGCGCCCTGTTGTGACGAGTCCACTTCGCGGCGCGCGTGCAGGCCGAGGGAGGGAACTCTTCATAGAGGAACGATCTCGGTGGCGCTCTGACAGCGCCAACAGCATCTAGAGCCCTGTCCCCTGGGTGGGAAAGCATCGGCGCGCGGCTCTCTTGTCGGTGCGCGCTTGCTATATTTTTGTCGGTGCTCGTCTTGTCGGTGCAGACAGGGCCCGGCACGGTGCAGACGCGCGCGCGAGACGTGCAGACAGGGTTGCCAGGTGAGAGCGAATGGCGCGGTTCACACCTCGCACAACAGAGAGAGAGATGCGCTCTGCATGGTGGGACATAAAAGAGAGCGAGTACTTGGGCGAGTAGGCCGTGCGGTCAACGCTGCCGCGCGCGACTTTGCGCGCGAGGCGGCGCAGCTTGAGAACGGCGGTGGGCGAGAAGCCGCCGCCGAACGTCTCGTGGAGCAGCAGGTTGAAGTTGCCTTGCGCTTGACAAAAACGAAAAAGATCGCGTCGAGCGTCGTGGTAGAAACCGCGATGCGCCTTGACGTGGCCGTCCGCCAGCTTGGCGCGCCGGGAGGTGTTAAAGCCGTAATGACATCACTCCAAGTGCTCCAAGAGCGGCATCAGAAAGCAGTGTTTGTTTGGAGTGACTTAACACAGGCTGGTTTGTTTGGAGTCACTTAACACAGGGGTCAGAGAGGGGGGTCGATTAGAGGGCGGGCCTCATGTGCGGGTCATGGTTTGTGCAACACGTTTACTACGCATGCTCTACCCCAGTGCAACCCAGGGAGCTCACGGACGGACCTGCAAGCAGTCCGATCCAGTTAGTACTAAACAACAGGAGAGGCCGCCGCGGCGGTGCCAAGGTGAGAGCAGGGCCACTACAGTGCTCCCCTACTCCGTCTCGCGCGTGATCGCGAAGCGCAGCACGCACGTGACAAAGTCGCGCGCCGCGATGCCGTTCGTGTTTCCTGCCGAGTCGAGATGGTGCCGCTCGTGGATCTCGTAGAGCGAGACGACGAGGAGCGCCGCCCGCGCGCGGGCCGCCGCGGGGAAGAGCGAGTGGCTTGCCGGCGACCACGGCGCCGCCGCCCGCCGGATCAGCGCCGCCACCTCGCCCGCGCCGCCCGCGGCGCGCTGCAGCGGCGTCGGCTCGCCCTCGTGCAGGCTTGCGCCGCTGCGCAGCAGGGAGAGAGCGCGGGCGGCGGTGAGGGTCTCAAGGTGCGCGAGCGGCGTCCAGCCGCGGCTGGCGACCAGCCAGGCGGCGAGGTCGGCGTGGCCGTCGCGGTTCGCGACCTCCTCGGGCGTGCCGAAGGGCGGCACCGCGGCGCGGGAGGCGCCGTAGGAGGAGAGGAGCTTGGCGACCTCGAGGTGGCCCTGGTGGCACGCGATGAGCAGCGGCGTGACGCCTTGCTCATCGGCCTGGTCGATCGCCGCGCCAGCCTCGAGGAGCAGCCCCGCATCGAGGACGGGCTCTCAGCTCTCATGAAGGGCGGCGGGCCGTGTCCGGAGAAGGTGCCGGCCGCGGGCAGGAGCCCTCGCCCCTCCCTCCCCCCACCCCCCCCTTTCCCCCCTCCAGATCGTCTTCCCCCCTCCGCCCGCCCGCCTTCCCGCCTGCCTCCACCCTTCTCCTCGCCCTCGCGCAGGCCCGCGTCGCCATCTCCGGCATGCCGGCAGCCCACTTCACCATCGCCTCCTCGGTCGCTGCCGCTTCCCTCGCAGTACGAGGTCGGCGTACCGACTGCGCGTACCTGCTCGAAGGCCTACAACCGCACCGCGGCGGCTTGTCGCAGGCGACCACCGAGTGCTACACGGACATCGCGGACGAGAGTGCGGTGCGCCGCTGCGTTACCGCCCCGTGGGTGCCTCCCATTCAAGCACTTGAATGACGCACCGGCTCCCCGGCGGCACAGGGCGTTCGCGCGGTCACGGGCGATCTCGAGGTGGCCGTTCTGGCACGCCATGTACAGTGGCGTGGTGCCGTTGTTCACGGCTTGGTTCACCGCCGCGCTGGCCTCGAGGAGTAGCTGCGCGCACTCGAGGTGGCCGTTCTGGCACGCGATGTACAGCGGCGTGTCGCCGTCCTCACCGGCTTGGTTGACCGCCGCGCTGGCCTCGAGGAGCAGCCGAACGCACTCGACCTTGTCCTCTTGGCACGCGATAAACAGAGGCGTGACGCCGTCCTCCGCGGCCTGGCTGACCGAAGCGCCGGCGTCGCGCAGCAGCCGGGCGCACTCGAGCTGGCCCTCCTGGCACGCGATGAGCAGCGGCGTGGCGCCGTCGTTGCGGGCTTGGCTTACCGCCGCGCCCGCCTCGAGGAGCAGTCGGGCGACGTCGAGGCGGCCCTTCTCGCACGCGATGTACAGCGGCGTGGCGCCGTCCTCACCGGCTTGGTTGACCGCCGCGCTGGCCTCGAGGAGAAGGTGGGCGCACTCGAGGCCGTTGTTCTGGCACGCGATGAACAGCGGCGTGGCGCCGTCCTCACCGGCTTGGTCGACCGCCGCGCCAGCCTCGAGAAGCAGCGCGGCGATCTCGGGGCAGTCCTCCTGGCACGCGATGAACAGCGCGGCGCGGCCGGTGCCATTCGTCGCCCCGACGCTCGCGCCGGCTTCGAGCAGCAGCCGCGCCGCCTCGGCTTGACCGTGCCGAGCGGCCCAGGTGAGCAGCGTGTCTTGGTTCTCGGTGTCGAGCCGCGCGTCGAGCCTGCCGCACGTCCGCCGCCCGATGAGAATTCGACGCCACGACGGGCGCGGGGTCGGCCGTCCGCGGTCCGCTCCGGGGCGGGGACCGGGGCCACCGCCGGCGGATCTCGCTCCAAATCTCGCTCCAAATCTCGCTCCATCTCGCTCCATCTCGCCCCATCTCGCCCCATCTCGCCCCATCTCGCCCCATCTCGCCCCATCTCGCTTGCTGGCGGTAATGTGTTCGCTCACGTCGGGCACAGTTGTACTTTTAGCTTACTGGGAGAGAAGGGACCAAGGGAGAGGGCCGGTGCTGTCGGGTGCTGTCGGTCGGGTGTTAGGTCTATTGTCGGGTGGTGAGCTGTCAGGGTGCTGTCTGCTGTCTGACACACACCAGCCACGTTTGTAATACCATAGAAGACCGCAGCCTATGTGTACCGTGTGCCTGTGCGGCTCTCGAGCCTCCCGACGGTCGACGTACAGATGTGCGCCTTTCGTGCTTCCAGCTGGCGAGGCAGGCCGAGGGCCGATCCAAGTGCCAACCAAGACGCAAGAGGCCGAGGAGCATGCAGGAGCCTGGACCCAGGGACTTGCAACTTAGTTACTTTGACCCATCTCGGTTCTCGCCCACGGCCACGCACCACGCAGCCCCAAGGCCCGCGGCCGCGCGCGCGCCGCCGCCGGGGGGCCGGGACACTCTCGCCTCTCGCGCCGTCGCGAGCGGGCCGGGGGCGGGCTTTTCAGAATCAGATTCCAGTTCGGGATCATCTAGACGACATTGCGAGATCTGCGCTCGGTGTCACGACTCGAGACAGCGTTGGATGTACACGCATATACGAACAGAGCTCTTTCCTCTCGCGGGCGCCTCGCGCCAGGCACCAGGTGACCAGGAGCAGCGAGGGCAGAGGGTGTCGCTCGAGTGCGCGAGCGATCACGGGCGCGAGGGCGGGCGGCAGAGGCCAGAGCTCCTCTCCGGGCGGCGTGCAGCTAGTCCCGAGCCCCAGCGCCGTAAGGCTCCCCCCCCCCCCCCCCCTCCATGCATGCAGCCCGGCTCGCTGTGGGTTTCGGACCGGGGTGGGCCGGGGATCCCCTACCCCCGAGGGTGGGCGAGCCCCTGGCCTCAGTCGTCGCCGGCGGCGCCGCTCGGGTCGTAAGCCTCGACTCGGTCGTCGGCCTGCATCGTCTGGAAGCCCTCGAAGGCCATGCCGCACTCGGAGCCGGCGTCGATCTGCTCGACCTCGTCTTTGATGTAGCGCAGCGCGAGCAGCTTGCCCTCGTACACGACCGCGTTGCCGCGGAGGATGCGGATGTTGCTGCCCGCGCGCACGGTGCCGTCGAGCACCTCGCGGGACGAGGCGAGAGAGGAGGTGAGGTGGAAGGAGGTGAGGTGGAAGGAGGCCAGTCGGGGGCGGGTGCTTTCGTGATTCGTTTTGTCTCCCGCGCCTTGCAAAGAGAGAGACACACAGATAGTCATATACATATAGATATAGACAGAGATATAGAGAGAGAGAGAGACATATAGAGATAGACAGGGAGAGGT